GCTATTGACCAACTGGGAATTCACATTAGAGAACAGCTGCCTCCTGGATTCTTTTTGGTTCAATGCACACAGGGTGGGAACCTGAAACAACAAACTCTGAAAAATGGAGCAAAGTGAAAAGTTTGTGTTTGGAGGGAGCCTCAAATGGTTAATTACATCAACCCTTTGAATTGCATTCAGAAACTGACTGACAACCAATAAAGCATAGCACCACCATCTTTTACATCAAGTCCAACCTGGCTGGTGGATGAGGATACTGAAGTAGACAAGTTTTTCCCCTTTAAAAAAGACACATTATAGTGTCTGTTGAATGAAGTAATCTATTTGCTGGAGATCAGCAGTCTTGGAGAAGAGGAATCAAAAAGAGAGATAAGGAAGAGGTCCGGAAGAAATTCTTCCTTGTGGGCAGTAGATTGTGAGGTACTAAACCACTGGCAGAACTGATGTCCTGTTTTAAGCACTGCTTCTCATTGGCTGATGTGCTGATCGTGGTCATCATGCAAAGCTCCCATCATATTTCAAAAGGTTTTGGTGAAAGGTTGTTAGTCCAGTAGGCTTGCCGATGGGCAATAGCTCAGTGAGCAATAGCTCCCTTTTCTTGAGCATCTCAAACATGGTGATATTTTGTCTACATGTACTTTATTTTCAGAAGCAGTCTTCTCCATCTGGGAAAGTTGGACACATCCTGATTGTCTTCAACAACACTATTGGCTTCGGTTCATCAATCCCAAAATCTATTAATGCAACCTCACATCCTGTGACACACTTGTTCTGCATATACAAATATTGTTCACTGAAGCAGAACTGACTTCTTTCTACCTGTCCAGCTGATTTCCCCACCTCATACACAAACTTCTCTACAAGAACTCTGTCCACTTATGGACTTACCACCTGTTTTCTGTCCAAGGGACAGTCTGGGGCACTTGTTGACTGGTAGTTTGGAGTCTAGGTGTGCAGAATAATAATCACATTTCATGTATTATATAACTGCCCCAGGCTCTTGGCTGTTACTGGTATAATCCTCTTTCTACATTGGATTCCAATTGATGTGGCAGTTTCCCGCCCTGTCATTTTGACTATGCATAGGAGTGTGTACCTGTGGTTCTTATGGAGTGCTTTCATCTTCTCTTCTAAAGCTTTTCTTCATTTCTTAGATTCAGAAGCTGACATGTCTTCCTATCAGCAGGGCTCTTTCATTTGCTCTCTCTTGGCAAGATAGGAAAGCCTTATGGGTTGATCCCCTTTGTTGAATCTCTCTGAATGCCTGCAATGTTCAATTTCCCCTTCTGGTTCTGACTGCCATCAAACTCCAGGCACAGATCAAAAGCTCCTTTGATGCCTATGCTCTCGATTCCTTCATTGCTCATCTGGACACGTGGAACAAGATCTGACACTTCAAGTTATTTTGGTTTTCCCTCTCATCAAAATAAGCAATGCTGTATATTTGAATAATTTGGGTGGTGATATCTACAATTCTTGCATGTAGCAAATATCCAACCAGCATTCTATCCTCACATCTGCAATTCAGTTTAGTTCTCTTCTTTTTTGGCACATGGGCAAACCTTAGAACCAAATATTCTCTTGTATTGTAATCTAAGCTGAATTTACTTCCATGACATAATTTGTATAATAGTATCTCTGCACCTTGACTGGGAATCTGTTTTGCAGCTAGATAGCTGTATTGACTATGTCTCATGAGGACAAGAAGCAATGGATAGAACCAACCTAGAACGAAGGAGAAATTTCCAGAGAGCAAGAACAATTAACCAGTGAATGGCTTACCTTCAGAAGTTGTAATGTAGATGCTCCATAACTGGAGGTTTGTAAGAAGAGATTGGACAGCCATTTGTCCAGAATGGTATAGGGCAGCGGTTCTCAACCTGTGGGTCGAACGACCATTTCACGGGGGTCGCCAAATAACGCAGTCCGCCATTTTTTCCCCTTTTCCTTAGCTGTGCTACTCCCTTTTATTCTATTGGCTTTTGAAAGCCAATAGAATAGACTCTCTTGAATAGAGTCTAATTCTATTGGCTTTCAAAAGCTAATAGGAATTGTCCAGGCTGTCTCTGCCCTGCTGAGCCCACCAAAAACCCCAGTCTGCAAACGGTGCTGCAAGTTGTCTGCAGCGAAGGCGAGCTGTCTGGAAGCTTCCACCCCTCCCTGCTGAGCAACTACTAAAAATGTAAGTAAAAAAGGGCCAGGGGTGGGAGGTGGGAGGCCGGCGGGCACAGGGAGGGTTGCTGGCGCGCGTGGGGCCCGGCGGGTTCCTTACCTCCCTTGGACTGGGCCAGCTGGTGGCCCAGCCAGTGGTCAGCCTGCGCCGTCGCTGCCCCTTGCCAGCTACGCCTCGGCCGGCACAGGGGGCGGCACCACGCATGCGCGGCACTCCCGGGCAGGGAAAGTCCTCGACTTACGACCGGTTGGGTAGTCCTCGACTTACGACCAGTTGGGGGTCGTGGCATTAAAAAGGTTGAGAATAGGGTCTCCTGCTTGCATAGGAGGTTGAACTAGAAGACCTTCAAGGTCCCTTCCAACTCTGTTATTGTTACTGTTTCTGATTTATTTGCTAGTTCTGCATCCTGCATCTCTTAATTTTTATTAAGACAGCAATTTTACTTCATTGCTTTGAATTATGTTTTGGGAAATAGAGCCTACTAGACTAATGTACAGTCATTAGTTCTCTCAAGTACTTTTGGATTTGTATATATTCACCTCTATTATCTGTGCATAGAATTTGGGATTCTCTGATAAGTTAGTTCTCACCAAAGACATATATACTTTGAACCTTGCCAGGACTTAGGAAATGCAATCATTTGTAAAAGACAAAATGTATCTGTTTCTGCCTGATATAATTATTTGAATAAACAAAGTGTATCTGCACCAAGAGCTGGGCTGTTCCTTTCAAATTGCATTGTTTGCCACTGACTGCCAGAAGGCACCACATAGCTTCATTCTAGTGTTGGGTCTTGTCAGGCATAAGGAGCCTCCTTTATTGTTATTAATTATTATTTACATTTAATCAGATTTTATATATTGTATGTTCAACAGGCATTGTACTTGATGACTATACAGGCAGTCCTTGACTTACAACAGTTCATTTAGTGACTGTTCGAAGTTACAACAGTACTGAAAAAGTGACTTATGACCATTTTTCATACTTACAGCCATTCCAGCATCCCCATGGTCCCGTGATTTACATTCAGATGCTTGACAACTGACTCACATTTATGACAGTTGCAGCATCCCAGGATTATGTGATCCCCTTTTGCAATCTTCTGACAAGCAAAGTCAATGGAGAAGCCAGATTCACTTAACAACGGTGTTACTAATTTAACAACTGCCATGATTCAGTTCACATATGTGATAGGAAAAGTTGTAAAATGGGACAAAACTCACTTAACAAATTTCTCAGTTAGCAACATAAACTTTGGGCTCAGAGATATGTTGTTGTATGGAGAAGATGGATAGAATATGTTCAGAAGAAATATGGAACTACAAAGTTTCATTTATTTTATGAGTAATGGATTTGTTTATAAAAGTATGATGTTAAAGTTTGAAGAGAGTTAAGGGTTAGTATGATTTTGGTTATTGTATAATTAGTAAACTTAAGTAGATTATGTTTAATATGTTTGTATAACCCTGTACTTGGCTCTGGGAAGTTGGGGGGGGAGGTGGGGGGAGGATGGGTTGGAGGTTTTATAGGTCAGATAAGTAGAAATAGTTTTATTGTATATAATATTGATGTTTCAGTTTGGAGAGAGGAATTGCTCGGTCATTTCCCCTGGACTGCATCCGGAGTGAGGAGATAGGAGGAAGCGGAGAAGTAAGTAGGAAGGTTGAGGAGAAGGAGGAGAGGGGGAGAGTGAGGAAGAAGAGGGAGAAAGAGGGAAGTGAGAGAAGAGGTTAGAGGGTGGATGCGGTTTGGGGGGAAATGGGTGAGCAATACCGAAAGTTGTGTGTATAAATTTATTTTATTCTTTATCTGAAGTACTCTTTATGAATGTAATGAAAAATCGAAAATAAAATTTTTTTACAAAAAAAAAATGTGGTTGTAAGTCGAGGATTATCTGTATTGCAATGCATTTATCCTTACAGCTATCTTTGGCCTAGCTGTTAGTAGCTTATAGGAAGAAAGTCTATTGATACTATGGAGATACATCTTTCTTTTTTTTATTCATTTGAATTCTTAAACTGTAGCTATCTATAATTAAACCCTTCTTATGGAGCAGGTCTTAAACCTTCTAATATGAGACCTAGAAAAACTAATAGACTGTTCATTTGAACAAGCAAATGAACAAGATAATAAAAGAGAGCATATTTCTATAACATTTTTTCACTTTTATTTTATACAGCAGGGGTACATTTGCTAAGGCTGCAGTCTGAGGTCTTTTTTTTTCTCTAATTTTTGTACAGACTCTGGATTCCTATGCCACATTCTTTTGTGCTATAGTCTTAAATTCTTCCAGTGACTGCATGCTTTCACTGCTCTAAACATAATTCTGCATAAGTTTATTTTCTGAGATAGTGTCTTTTGTACATAATTCTCCATTCTGAATCACATAACAATGGCTGCCTGAAATTTTACTACACTCCCGAGAAGAATACCATAGTGTTTTGCTGGTTCTTTATATATTCATGCATTTACAAACTCTTTGTGCTAACCTTTGATGAAAAGGATCAGGAAACAGGAGGTAGCTTATTTAGCAGGGTGTTCACATGAGATGGAGGAATAGGAGACATCGAGTTAGGAAAGAGGGAAGCCTTTAAAGACCTAGGAGTTTATTGGGAAGAGAAAGCTTGCATATGAAGGTGATGATTGGCAGATGAAATGACTAAAATGAATTTAGACAGCTCTAGTGATGATTGAAGATGTACTGATGGAGATAGACTGATGTTTTTAATCCAGGAAAGATACAATTGACAGAACTGAATAAAACCATCTTCAACAGTTGTATATAAACAGATCTGCATATTATTCTGATTCACTCCTCTATACTGACCTGCAATAGGTGGGCTGACCAGGTAAGGGACTGCATGAAGGAAGTAGATCATTCCAAGGGCGGAGGATAAGGAAACAGTCCCCACAACATCTGCTGTCATCACAGGAATTAGAGTAATGTAGGCTCCATCAAAATAGCCAAAGGTGAAAGAGAAAGGCAGCAGAAGTTGAAAGCTTTGGAGAGCTGGAAGGAAGAGGCAACAGAGACCATCCATTGCCACAGCAAAGAGGTAGCAAACATAACGGTACTTCTTCAAACACCTGAGAGGGAATAGTCAAAAAAAGTAAGGAGAGAGTTAGTTGTGATCCTCTTTTTCCAAGGGGGAGGAGGGTCCTTGGGGGTCTTGTTGTTCCACCTCTTATTCTTCTTTCCTATGTTTGGGCTTTGGGCCTAAACAGATTTTTTTTTTTCTCTTGCCAGGCTAGCTATCATTTCATCCAAATAAAAAGCAACAGCTCCTTTTCAGGTTATACACTAACACTAAATTGTAGTATCTTTTTTTTCCTTTTACAACCCTGTAATCCCTTTTATTGGGGTGGAGTGGGGGCAACTGAATGGAACTGAGCATTTACTGGCCAGATGCCCTTCCTGATACCTATGCGGAGTTCATAATAGATATTTTCTCTTTGAGCCCTGAGCCCTGTTGCTGCCTAGGATTGAACTCTCAACACCATGCCACTCACTAAATCAGGGGTCTTCAAACTTGGCCCTTTTATGACTTGTGGACTTCAACTCCCAGAATTCCTCAGCCAGTGGCTCTACTACCCAAAACTCTTCATACTGGCCTGTAGCCAGGAAATCCTGTCATAAAACATTGAAGTCCCTCCCAATGGCTAATTAAGACATAGAACTGACCAATTATAATATAGATATAACCATGCAACAACTAAACTACATTTCCCAGAAGCCATCTCTTAAGGAGACAGCATTTAACCCCTTAAATGCTACTTATATATGGTCTGGCCAGCTGCACTAAATTGTAGTGTCTATTTTTTAATTTTTAGAAATTAAACATTATCCATTTACTTTATTTCTTTCTGGGATAACTGATTTGGAAAACTTTTTTCAGACTGGTAGCTTGTGGAAATGCTGCCATTCTTCCAGAAAAACTCGTGGAAAAAACCCATCCCTTCCCAGTCCTGCCTACTTTCCTCCCTAACTGCTGCTTGATCTTGCATTTTCCTTTATAAATTTAATGGGTTTCATTGTAGTAGTTTAAGTATAGCATAAATATAGAATCTGCCCAATTAGTATTTTCTTTTCAGAATTCAGTGCTGACTAAGAATATTACATTTAATCTCATATCTTATCAGAAGGGCACCAGGCTAGGGAAGGCTAAAACACAATGTTTGATATGCTTTTTTTTCAGCTCCAAAAGGCTACAAGAGAGGCTCACAGAACGATTTAAAAGAACCAAAGTGTTCTAGTAAAAATAATTTGCAGGTTTGTAAAGGCTAGACTCATAAGAGTCCTAGTACTAACCAGACTCTTGTGATCATCCTTGGGAGGGAGTTCTGATATCCCACAACTACAAACAGAGAAGCCACCAGGCTTATCTCTAATGTCCTGTTCTAGACTTGGCTAATGAGGATAAAACCAATGAAGGAGAATGTAGCTCAAGATTGAAATGAGGGGTCCTTGGTGCTCCCTGGGCTTGGTTGTTCTCTTGCGCTTGTTTCATTACTCAAACTAGGTAACATCAATGATGGTCACTGCCTCCAGTTTGCCAACTAAATGAGGAAAAGTCGTTGCAAAGGGTTGGCTTCCTTCTTCCTACTGAACACATTCTGTTCCAACTGCTGATTGACTTATGGCTATTGTTTGGAAGGGAAACCAAGTGCGGAGGCCTTATGAGATTACTACTTCAGGTATGTGTGATTCCCTACTTTGACCAAGGAAACATTTGATTTGCAGAAAAACTGCAGGGAAGTAGCTTCTCTTGCTTCACATTGTAGCCTGGCTGTGGATTATATGAACACATAAAGCCCACACCCATCAAGAGTAAGGTTCAAACCTTCAAAGAAAAATAATAATATAGGAGCAAGGAAAAACAAAAAGGAATTAACTGCAACAGTTTGTGAGGGAGGCCATCACAAATCATGCTCCTTAAAGTGTGGATAAAGGTAACTGGGTGACTGGAATGAGGTGTTAATCAATTGTGACAGGTCACTGTGCAGAGATGCTTCATAGATCATTCAAACCCTTAGGAGACAGTGGGAAACGTCACATTAGAAGGAGAGCAGTTGAGGTTGACTATAGGTTGGGTCCCCAATGATCTGAAAATAATACAAAGGCTGATTCACAAAGAAATGTCTTCTGCAAACAGTTCCTGGCATGCAGGTATTTATTGTCATGCACCATCCTTCTCCCGAACAGCCCTCTGACATTTACCTTTGATCCATGAACCATCCAAAAGTAATATTGCCAATGATGTCAATGACTCCAAGGACAGACATGAGAAAAGCCGCCTGTTGGTGGCTGACTCCGACACTTAATGAGTAAGGCACTAGGTAAACAAAGAGTGGACTACAGCCATAAGCCATGAATAAGATGGACACTGCAAGCACCACAAAGTCTGGCATCAATACAAAGTTGTATTCCTGCTGTGAGCAATGGCACACACACTTGTGAGACCATAGTTTGATCATGGGAGAACAGAAAGACCACTGTTTGAAGCCTGACTTTTGCGCTTCCAACTCAAACTCTTGCTCAGAGAATTCCAGCATGTTCTTGTGGTCCTCTTTTCCTTCAATTGGCCTCATTAAGGCACCACAGACACAGAGGTTCAAAACAAAACCACCCAGGATGAGCAAGGCACCGCGCCAGGAAAAGTGCTCAATCAGAAGCTGGACCACAGGTGCGAGAATGAAGGTCCCAATGCCGCAGCCTGACATGGCGATTCCATATGCCAGGGCTTTTCTCTTGTGAAAATAGTTGCCCACCATTGCTACGGCTGGAGAATATGAAAGAGCAAACCCCAATCCTGGAAAGAGAAAAACACACACATACAAAACAAGCAGAAAATAAATTAACTGCAGTAATCAAGAGGGAATGAGTAGTGAAACACTGTATTAATCTGTTTGTTTTTTTCAAAAATTATTCTTCCTATTTCATATTAATCTGTCTTTTAAAATATCTGTATGACAACTGAATTGAAATAGAAGATTGAGCTAGTATTTTTGCCAACATTACCCTTAAGAACCAACATGGAGGTATGGTTTATTGCATCTAAGGCTAAAAGTACCATTTATATACCACAGTCAAAACTTACAATTCCACCTATCTTCTATTACTCTGTTTACCTAATATACCAATCATGAATATATCTAAAGCTCTGGGCTCCATAGATATTTCACTTCTCATAATAAATCCCATTAAGAAATCCTCTATGGATATTTTATAATGCCATCAATTAAAAGAACAGATACATTGACAGACAACGCTTCCAACAAAAGTTAATAGAAAAGTGCTGGCCCAACACATCAAACATCCATCAAAACACAGGATTTTTGTTCCTTGTATAAACAGGTTCTTGGCAGCATTTCAGTGCAATATTTCTGCAAAATTGTTATTAAATAGCAGGGGTCTAAGCAGTAAGCTCACATCATTAAGCTACAAGGCAGGCTTTAATAAGTCAGCAATTTTAGCATAAACATTTCTATGTCTCATTTTGAACTAGGAGAGAACAATGAGATGTTTTTATTTTGTTCTGTTTTTAAAAAGAATGACTCAATTCATTAGGAACAAGACTCTGGACAACACAGTCAGCAAAAGATGCTAATTAGACATGCGTATATAGTCAATTAACCATTAAATGTAAAGCCTTCACATATACTCAGATGAAAAACAGCAAATGTAAATTTTAAATTCCAAAATTAAGATTTCATCACTATTCAAATGTGAGTATTATTTTCCAGATCTAATTTTAGTTCTATTCCAATTTTCTTTATTTTCCCTTGCTGGTTTTGTTCAGAGTATCTATAGAATCTCTTCTCTCTCCTTTCTTTAAATTCTTTCTTGGATGTCAAGTCAAATATCTTTATTTTGGTAATCAAAATGCTTTCTTTGAAGAGTAAAATTACAACTATCCCATTATTTTTTGATCCCTAGGAAAAATGATAAAAACACAATAGGAATACAGCTAATTTTATAAGTTTAAGGTTTTAAATATGTAAGATAATTTTCTTGAAGGTAACTCCCATTGGATGGCTTTATATAAACATTCTTCTTATTCAGTTCCCAAACTATAACGGGGAAATTACAGTAGCCTAATTCAAATAATGTACTCAAGTTGTAATCCTAAATAAATAAATTCAAGTGTAAATTCCGCTGAATGCAGTGTGATTGTCTCCTAAATTAATGCAGAGGATTACACTCCCATGCATTGTATACTACAGAGAATAGAACAACAGCTTCCATTAATCTGTGTGCAAAAAAACCTATCAGTGCCAGTAATGATACCTGTAAGAATGCCCAAGGACAGGTAAAGATGCTCCAAAGTGGTGGCAAAGGAACTCAAGATAAATCCAGCAGATGCAAGAAGTCCTCCAAGCATGATTCCCACTTGGCTAGAGACATGATTGCTGACAAAACTCCCGAGAGGAGCTTGAAAGGAAAAGAACATACTTTCATACCAGAAAAAAAAATTCATTGAAAGCCGGGCCAAAGCTTCAATTACTTTCACTGTCCCCTTTACCCCTTTTATCTGGCTTCCCATTGACTTTGCCTGTCAGAAGGTCATAAAAGGAGATCACATGACTGTCCCCTTTATCTTCTGATGGAATTTTTAAACAAATTTTCTTTTTTCTTTTTGTTACTCCAAGGAAAAGGATCTCTTTTTTCATAAAATTATAATGGGCAGAGAAATATAATGCTTATGCTTAACATTAAATAGATATTTAAAAGAAGGAAAGTTTAATTTCCGGGATGCCTCCCTTCAGGCTCCCTCGGCCTCTCCTCCCCTCTAGGGGCTGATCAGATTCCCCCCGTGGGCACTGCTGTGCCTGTCCCCGGCCAGCCCTCCTCCTCCATCTGCGGGCAGACCACGGTTTACTGACCTGGGTGGCGCGTCTCCCCGCACATGTCCTCAGGTGGAGGAGCTGGTAGCTGCGGCTCTTGCTCCCCTTCGGCCTCCATCTCATGGCTTTCGCTCCCCTTCAGCCTCCATCTGTCTGAGGGTGGAGCTTGGTGCACGCGGCTCGCCAATGACAGGCTGGAGAGTGCAGGACGGTGGCAGCTGTCCCAGGACGAGGAGTAGGTGGGGTGGGTGTTCCCGATGTCCGCAGGGGAAGAAGGAGCATGGAGGCTCCATGCCCAGTCCAGCCCTGCCCAGGCACAGCACGGAAAGCGAGGCAGCAGCCCCATGTGTTTCGGACCCAACCCTCACAAAAGCGCCCTTCTCCGCCGCCCCAACCCAGTTTCTTACCTCTGCCTGGCTTGTTCAGCGGCCTCATGGTAGCGGCATTGGGCAGGAGGCAGCAAATGGGGCTTGCTGAGGATCGAGCCACATTTGCCGCTGCCACCCTTGGAGCTGGCAATTAGCAGGGCCCTATCACAGGAGGACTCGGGAGTGCCAGGGTCCAGCCCTAAGAAGCCTATCGTCTTCTCACCTGAGTTGCCTGGATACACGCCCCCATTGCATGACTTCTGCAGTGGCGGCGGCATGGAGGCTGATCACAGGCTCAGAGCAAGTGCAAGCGGAGCAGCTGCATGGGGCAGAGGCACTGCCCAAGGCCGGAACAGAGCTGGGCAGGACTGCAGGGTGCCGATAGTGGCGGCGGCACAGAGGCCAATCATAACTGCGAGTGGGACAGCTGTTCAGGGCAGAGGTGCTGCCCGGGGCCAGAGCGGGGCAGCAGCATGGCAGCAGCAGAGCTGGATGGGGTGGCGATGGTGATGGCAGCAGTGACGGCTAGGACGCTTTGGTCAAAGCAGCAGCAGCAGCAGCAGTGGTGGCAGCACTGAGGAGGCAAGGAGTGGTGCCCACAATCTGCCCGCCTCCCCTCTGCCTGCTTTGTGCAGCTCCTCCTGGGCCCTCTGCACCCGCCATTAACCCTCCCACCACCATGCAGGGTAAGGTTGCCACCCCCGCCCAGATGCCCTCACCTGCCCCAAGCATTTTTTTACTAACTTGCCTTTCAGCTGCATTCTGTTTCTCCGTTTGCTTCTTAGCCTTCGCCATGTATTTGTGGGACTATCGGTTAAAAAAAAAAGCTCTATCAGACTTTCTAACTTCTCGCGAGATCTTGCGAGAAGTTAGAAAGTCTCACGGAACTTTTTTTTTCTCCCATAAACACATGGCGAAGGCTGAGAAATGAATGGAGAAATGGAATGCAGCTGAAAGGCAGATTAGTAAAAAACCACTTGGGGGAGGCGAGGGCATCTGGGTGAGGGTGGCAGCCTTACCTGCGTGGCTTTGGCAGGTGTCTGGCAGGGGGAGGGAAGCAACAGGTCCCATCCCACCCCTCGTATGAAGTGCTCTGCTCCCACCACTCCCCCACCCACACAAGGCACCTTTTTTCTAGCTCTAACGCATCACTTCCTCCGCCACTGTGTGGTTCACCACCACGGACCTAGCCTAACAACTCAGGGATCTATTGAAACAATGCTGCAGCATGAGAAAATAAGCACTGCCCAAAATGAAATGCAGACTACACTAAAATTGATTCAAGAGTCAATGCAAAAAAATCATGAAGAAACAAAAAGCAATGTTGAGAAATTAAGTGAAGAAATTTTGGATATAAAGGCACAATTTGAAGTTCACCATCAAATGATTGCCAAAAATGAACAAAGAATTCAGAAAATGGAAAATAAATCAGATGATATTGATAAAAAATTGAAATACTATTACAAGAAAATGAAAAATTAGAACAAGCAAATCAAATTCTAGAAGGAGCGGTGGCAATTCTAGAAATGGAGAAGACAGAACACTATCTGAGATTTCAAAATATCCCTGAAGACAGAGAAGAAAATATAGCATTTGTGATCATTAAGCTTCTGGCAGGGGCCCTGAAAGCAGATAGAGCAGAGATGCAAATGGAGCAGTGGTTCTCAACCTTTTTAATGCCGCGACCCCCAACTGGTCGTAAGTCAAGGACTACTCAACCGGTCGTAAGTCGAGGACTACTCAACTGGTGCAGCACTGTTTGCAGAATGGGACTTTTGGCGGGCTCAGCAGGGCAGAGACAGCCTGGACAATTCCTATTGGCTTTTGAAAGCCAATAGAATTAGACTCTATTCAAGAGAGTCTATTATATTGGCTTTCAAAAGCCAATAGAATAAAAGGGAGTAGCACAGCTAAGGAAAAGGGGGAAAAATGGTGGACTGCGTTGTTTGGCGACCCCTGTGAAATGGTTGTTCGACCCCAAATGGGGTCCCGACCCACAGGTTGAGAACCACTGAAATGGAGATAGATGAAATATTTTGAATTAATTCAATCTACGCAAGGAAATATAAACTACCTAGAGAAGTACATGTGAGATTCATAAAGAAAACAACAAGAGATGAACTACTGAGAAAATAATAGAAATGGAGTACTAAAATATTTGTTTATTATTAATATTAATATTAATGTGATAGTATATGGGATAATTGATTATAAAAGCAGTAAAATAGAAAAAACTGGAAGAAGAAGATTACCTAAATCATTTTTTAATGTGATAGAAGAAATTGGAATACAAGATGTTTGGAGGGAAATTAATCCAGAAAAACTTCAATATACTATTTATTCAAATAGTCAAAAATCCTGGTCAAGAATTGACATGATTTGGATGATGTCTGAATTGAGAATGAATATACAAGAAATTGAGATAGAACTGGGTACATGGGCAGACCATGTGACATAAAAGTGACATGGAGAGGAATACAAAAAAGACCAAGATGGACTTTAAATCAATCTATACTAAAAGAAAGAGAATTTATAGAATTAGCAAAAAAAGAAATGGAGTTTTTCTTTAGAGAAAACAAAAAAGAAGATACATTACAAAATGTATGGGACACAGCCAGAGCATATTTCAGGGGTATAGCCATAACATACACAGAAAAGAAAAACAAACAGAGAAGACAGCAATATGTACTACTAAAAGAAAAATTTGGAAAGTTAGAATCAGAACTACAAAAAAAAACCCGCAGAAAAAAACTTTGAAAAGAGAAATATAAACAATAAAACAAACTAAATCTGTTAGATTCAGAAAAATTGGCACAGCACATAAAAAGAGCAAAACAATTTTTTTGGAAAATGCAAATGTAAATGCAGAAAGATGGTTAGCTTAATAACTGAAAAAACAGAAGAAGAAGAAAATGATACACAACTTAGTAGATGAAAAAGGCTATCTAAAATTTAAAAATGAAGAAATAAAAAAGATAATTAAGGAATATTACAAGAAACTGTATGACATAGAAGAAGTTCCAAGACAGAGAACAATCCAATATCTATAACAAAATAATCTTCCAAAAATTCCAGAAACATTTAAGACTATGTTAGAGGAAAAAATCACAATGATGGAAATAACAGAGGTCATAAGAAGGCAAAAAAATGAAAAAAACACCGGGTCTAGATGGATTACTGGTGGAGTTATATAAAACCCTACAAGATACATTAAATGAAGCGTTAAAAGATGTTTGTAATGGACTTTTGTTGGAGACTAAACTCCCAGCCACATGGATGGAAGAAAATATTACTTTAATACCAAAAGAAGAGTCAGATTTGACAGATTAAAAACTACAGACTGATATCGCTACTGAATGTGAATTATAAAATTTTTACTTCAATAATGGCAGACTGAAAAAATACCTAACTTGAATTTATACATCCAGACCAAAATGGTTTTCTACCAAACAGGCAAATTAAAAACAATTTGAGAGTGATAATGGACGTTTTAAAATACTATGAACTACATCCAGGAAAACAACTGGCACTAATATTCCTAGATGCTCAAAAGGCATTTGATAATGTTTCCTGGCAATTTATGACTCAGCAATTACAAATAATGGACTTTATAAATATGACAAAAACAATATACAACAAACAAACAGCGAAAGTGATCGTGAATGGAGATTATATTGAGAACTTTGAGATAAGAAAAGGTACAAGGCAAGGATGTCCATTATCTCCATTGTTATTCATTTTCACTCTGGAAGTCTTAAATAGAAATATCAGACAAGATATAGGAATTAAAGGACTGGAAATAAAAGGCGAAACATATAAATTACAAGTATTTGCAGATGATTTGGTATTTATCTTAGAAGAACCTTTGGAGATGATTCCTAAATTACTGGGAAAGGTAGAACAGTACGGAGAAAAGGCAGGACTGAAAATAAACAGAGAAAAAACTAAAGTAATAATTAAAAATCTTACAGATAAACAACAAAAAAATGTCAGAAAAAACAGTTACAGATATTAAAAAGGTTAAATATTTGGGTATACATTTAACAGCAAGATGTTCAACAATAAAAGAAGATAATTACACAAAATTATTGAATCAAATAAAACTGGATTTGGAAAAATGGAAAAATTTGCAATTGTCAATACTAGGAAGAATTGCTACAGTGAAAATGAATGTATTGCCGAAAATCTTGTTTTTATTTCAACCAATACCCATAATACTGAGAAATTTTTTTTCAAGATTTTAATTTATTAATTTTGAAATTTGTTTGGCAGGGAAAGAAAGCTAGAATTAAGATGACAACGTTACAAGATGCTAAGGAAAATGGAGGATTTGGTTTACCGGACTGGGTTTTGTACTATCACGCATCTGTATTAACAAGGATAAAAGAATAGATAACTCTTAGAAATAAAAGATTATTATATCTGGAGGGGCATGATTTACAATTGGGGTGGCACACTTTTTATGGTATGGGAAAAATAAAATTCATAAATATTTCCAAAACCATTATATCAGAAATGCGTTGTTAACAGTATGGGAAAAAATAAAAAGTAAGATATATTTGAAAATTCCAGAGTGGTTGTCAACTATGGAAGCATTTGTACACCCAAATTTGGTGGAATTTGAAAAAATCTGGACATATAATGATATTCTAAATTCTGAAGGGAATTTAAAATCTAAACAAGAAATGGAAAATCAGGGTATAAACTTGTCGTGGTGGGCATATTTACAAATGCAAATTACATATGAAAAAGATGTTAAACTCTATGGATTTTATAAAGAACAAATGGCATTTGATAAGACTTTGTTAACTTCAGATGAGAAATTAATTAAGAAAATGTATATTTTTTATTAACCTTGGAAATGGAAAATGAACAAGTTAAAGAAACAATGATAAGATGGGTGATGGATATAATATAGAATTAGAAAAATGGCAAAACTTATGGGAAAGAAATTATAAACTAACAATGTCAACTTCTTATATAGAAAATGTATATAAAATGTTTTATCGATGGCACACTGTCACCAGCAAGATTAGCAAAAATGTTTAAAAATATGTCAGATAGATGTTGGAAATGTAAACACAAGTCAGGCACGTATTATCATGTTTAGTGGGCATATGATAAAGTAAAGAATTATTGGAAAAAGATACATACTTGGTTAGAAAAGATGTTGGGAGAACATGTAGATTTTAAACCTGAACTTTTTTTATTAGTTATAATGCCAGAAAAGACTAATAAACAAAGCTTATATTTGAGTTTGCATGTCACAACAGCAGCAAGAATAATATTTGCGCAACATTGGAAAAATGAAGGAATACCATCAGATGAAGAAATAATTAAAAAAATACCGGTACTAGAATGCACAGAGATGGACAGATTGACTATGAGACTGAAAGAAAAAGAAGAAACACATTATTATCAAACTTGGGACTTATTTTACCGATGGTTAGAGGAAAGAATAAAGGATTAGGAATTAAATGTGTATTGGCGTATTTAAACCCAGACAGCACATTGGTTGAAAAATTATTATTGTATGTATGGAAAAAATCAATAAAATCTTTTTAAAAACATCTGGAAGGCATTGAGTTAAGAAAGTTGAATTGGATAAAATCAAGAACTGTGTCCATTTGGTTCTAGTTATTTGGGACTAAGCGAAGGAGTTTATACTTAATACAAAACACAGCAGAAACATGCATTGCTGGATGGAGAATTGCATCATCTGCCATTGTAATACCGTAAGTCCTTAACTTACAACTGTTCATTTATTAACTGTTCAAAGTTACAACGGCATTGAAAAAAGTGAGTTAAGATCATTTTTCGCACTTATGACCGTTGCTGCATCTCCATGGTCATGTGATTTACATTCAGATGCTTGACAACTGGTTCACATTTATGATAGTTGCAGTGTCCAGGGGTTATGCGATCGCCTTTTGTGACCTTCTGACAAGCAAAGTCAATGGGGAAGCCAGATTCACTTAGCAACTGTGTTACTAACTTAACAACTGCAATGGTTCACTTAACAAATGTGGCAAGAAAAGTCGTAAAATGGGGCAAAACTCATTTAACAAATTTCTCACTTAGCAACATAAATTTTGGACTCAGTTGTAGTCTTGAGTCAAGGACTACCTGTATATAAATACTTACCACACAACATAGTAGCACAATCTACAATGGAATGGATCCAAGCTGTCCGGGCATAATCTTGTGCAAAGTAAGTCTGGAACTCCACAAAAAATATTGAGATACATCTGAGGAAAGAAAAAATAGAAAACCTAACTTTGGATGCGATACCATCACAGTGAAAAATTAGATAGAAATTGACTGAAGATGTACTCATTCCAGAACTAAGCCAAAATCTCTAAAAAAGATATCCACTTTTAAAGATGTGGAGATGCTCTCTTCAGCATACAAATGTGCAGTCTACAATATCTGCAAATCCAACTTCCATATCAACCATCATACCAAGACAATAATAGCCACAAATGTCTCCCTAAATGCAGTTATTTTCAGAGACTGAACAAGCCACATGTAAATGTAAGAACAGTGTTTACTTCTTGTTTTCGGCAAAAAATGGCCTATCATAGTTGAACAATGGGTTCACTTTACGACTGCCATGTTTGTTTAGAACCATATTTGCTTAATGACCACCACAAAAAAGGGTGTAAAATCAGATTGGTCAAATGAGGAGCCACTTTATGACCGTCAGGACTTACAATTGAAATTGCCAGACTTAATTATGGTTGTAAATCAAGGACTGGCTATAATGATGAAACTGTGCAGTGCTAGGAGATTTCTGTCATTAGCAGGGAAGGCAGAGGTTGAGGCTTCGTGTTCAATGTTATAATTATACAAAATAAATAAACGTAGTCAACTGGTATGACTGGAGAGCCATGATCAGAACAGGCCAGATAAACTCAAAAGTTGACTGGGGCAACATGAGGAATACTAATGGCAAGAAATTCATCTTCTATATTCCAGTCCTGCCATTTGACAAATTAAAGTTACGCATGTTATGGATATATATTATGGGAATGTTTTTTTTTTAAAAAAAACAATCATTGTGTTTCCAATATGGGGAGACTCTACACTGGAGTGGTAAGCTCTATAATGATAACTTTTAGCCTCACAAGATTATCCAGTAGTCATGTGAAAATAATTATGTCACAGTAGTGATTGTGTTCAAGTGGAACACTGACCAGACACTAAAAATATTGTTACCTGTACAGGAAAAATACTTGGTAATTGAATGGCAAATGCATCAGTCATAGTAATAACTGCTTGATTCTGAGCACTGTGTAGTGTTTCAGCTACAGGTATTTTTGCATTTGGAAGCAATAAGTACAATAGTATGGGTAATTAAACTTTATTCCAAGGCAGTATGAGAAACAAGGAAAAATAATAGAATACAGCTCACAAAATATATTTAAGAAACAATAAAATACAGCTTGTACAAAAAGTCTAGTGTAAAGGAGACAAAGAGCTCCCTGCTAGTCAGAAAACCCTGAGAGTAATTGCAGATGGATCCCCATCTTCAAGCTAGCAAGTGTATTCCCCCACCCAGGTTAGATTTGCAGATAGGTTCTCCTCTTTAGGCATTTCTGGTTTATATACATCATTGACAATAGTCAATTACACTGGCCATATCGTAGAAGGAAAGACAGGATGGCTTAGAAGAACAGGAGGAAGAGCCACTATCAAGGCAATGATCAAATAAAAAGATCTGAGGCAGGGACAAGTAATGAGAGCAAACACCATAGGACTATCTTCCCTAGTTCACACAAAAATAAAGGGAAATATGGAGGAAGCCCATTCAGACTTATTAAGATTCCATCATTGTAATTTACAACAAAAATCTAATTGGCATTGGACTCCTACTCTGGTCTACTTGGAAGGGCTGATAATGTTTGCTCATCTGGCCAAGGACAGAGGGAACAGGTATCTTATCAACATGTCCACCTGTCCTTGTGAAGGAACAAGGAAGAGAAACATATCTAACTTATTGTTGTCAGGCTTCACTTACCTATGTAAAAATCATTGCCATGGCAAAGCAAGGAGTATCTAATTAATAGCCAAGGACAGAGAATATCCAGATTTTTCATGCCAAGGACAAGATAAGAGAGAATGAATGTTCAAAGCTGATTTTTGTTCAATCCTTGCCTCTTTCTCTCTCTTTAAAGTACTTTGGTTGGAGTGAATTTAGTTGGAGTAAAAGTGAGCCTCTTTTACTGTTGTTTTTGCTTGGATAAGTGCCTTGTATACTTTTTGAGACAAATGTTAATTATGCTTCATAAAATGAGGGCTAAAAAAGCTGAGGAGGGAGTAGCCAGACCTTTCACCATAGAAGAATTATTCTTGATAATCAGACCTCAAGATGAAATTGTTCCTGTTGCTGAGATTCTTGGAATTCAAGGTGAAATACCTCCAGTAAAGTCAGGCTTAATCCAATCTGTGGCTAAGAATCCTTTTCAAGATTAATCGATTCCCCAGAAATGATAAATTGCAATCAATGTGTGAACCTTTTTTTTTATTTCATTGATTGATTGATTCATTCATTCATTCATTTTTATTATTTTTGTAAATAACTCAAGGCAGCAAACCCACATAATACTCTTTCCTCCTCCTATTTTCCCCATAACAACAACACTGGGACGTGAATTGGGCTGAGAGAGAGTAATTGGCCCAAAGTCATTGAGATGGCCTTCATGTCTAAGGTAGGACTAGAACTCACTGGCTCTTGGTTTTTAGCCTGGGGCCTTCTTCCCTCTCCAACTGCAGGCTGTAAGAGAGGGCAAAAATCTCCGTGAATAGTTTGCAAAGGGGTTTGTCCAAGTGAACGCAAGAACCACAAGCTGTCCACTTCTACTTGTTTCCATCCTGTTCATTAGAAATCATTGTTTGCTACTTTGAGCAAAGGACAAAATTATTAAAATATAGCAAAGTTTCATGGCCAGAAAGGTTACCTGGTCACAGCTCGAGTGCAGATCGTAACAAGGAAGCAGCCAATCACAATCATCCATCCCCATCCGCCATCAGGAGGGGAGGTACTTGAATGTTTCTTTGCCACAGCCATAATTTGTTGAGGAATTACCACCACTTTTTAAACTGAAGTAATTAGTTTAAAAAGATGACTGCCAGTGAAGGCAGAATATACAGGGAATACTACCTGTTACAAGGATTATTCAACATCTGAAACAAGGAGAACAAAAGAAAAAAATATATTACAGCCAGCCGTTTTTTGTTCTCTGAAAAAGCATTTATCAAATGTTAAGGTGTATTTCTAGCTCTGAGGATTGCAAGATACAAATTCTACACATTATTGGCAGCTAAATAAATCAAGAGTCCTTCCAGTCTAGAATGTCTGATTTGATTTTACTGACTGATCTGAATTGACATAATACCAACTATTGAAGCACCTCAGTGTTTCCAAAAACCAAATTTAAAGCCACAATTTTAAAGACAGTAAAAAATGCAAAAAAAAAAAATAATAATTAAATTCAAGAGTTAAAACAATTTAAAAGCCTGTATGAAACATGTGTTCTAATTGCCTTTTTAAAAGCTAATGAAAATATTATGCTTCTCAGCTTTTCAGATGAGCTTGGATGGCAACAGGGAAAGGTGATTTCTAGTCATTGTCAGTTGAGCTTCAGGAAATCATAACTGTAGGTCCACAAATACTCTCAGGAAACATGGAAGTTCATATCTTTTCATAAAACAGTTGTGGTGGTGTAGTGGTTAGAATACAATATTGCAAGCTAACTCTGCTCACTGCCTGGAGTTTGATCCTGACCGGCTCAAGATTGACTCTGCCTTCCATCCTTCTGGTTTGATAAAATGAGAACTCAGAATGTTGGAGGCAATATGCTTACTAAGTAAACCACTTAGAGAAGGCTGAAAAGCATTATGAAGTGGTATACTGTACAAGTCTAAGTGCTATTGCTATTGCTAAATAACCCGAACCTAAGCAGTAGAGGGCTTTAAGATAATGATCAATATATTGTACTTGCCAGTTGGCAAGCAATGGAGGGCTTTGAGGATAGGGATCATATGCATCCTTCCTGAAACCAACCTTTTGTTATCAGTTGAAGTTTCCAGATAAGAGACAAATGTTTGAGTGGGGGGGGAGGGGATTTCAGATTAGAAGAACTCCAAGGTCTCTTCCAATTCTGTTATTCTGTTGCCCCACGTAAATCTCATTACTATAGTCTATCCTGGAAGTTGTCAGCACATGCATCATAGATTTATGCTTATTATCTTCCAGAAAGGAATGTTGTTGAGATATCAGAAAAGCTGATCAAAGCAGGTATTCCTGTCCATTGCTTTAATCTAGAAAATCAGAGAGTTCTGCATCCACAAATACTTAAAAAATGCATACCTCCTCCTTCAAGTCCATTCAGTACAGACAGATCTACCACATCTTTGAGGTTGTTCACAAGAGACACCTCTGTCTTGGTTGGATCTGATGTCCATTTATTATCGCTCATCTAGTCCATTCCTGCCTGCAGAAAGGCATTGGGGGAACATGACCATTTTCTGAAGAAAATCTGGGGATCATCAGCCTCTAATATCCAGATCATCCCCCACCCCAGTAATTCCATGCAGATATTGACCTACACTGGAAACAAAATGATCTTTTCCAGTTTAGCATATTGTATAGATGTAATCTGCCTGATGTCATGATTTCTTACCTCTAGAGAAAGGAGATTAGGTTAGAATATATTCTCACACAGTAACAAAATTGCAATCCCCAGAATTTTCCAGCAAAAGGTATGATAAACTGATTAAAAATCTCCTCAACTGATCTGCTAACAAGTAACTAAAATATATCTCAGAAGAAGAGAAACAATGTCTGAAGCAGACAATACCATCCTTGGCAGACTTGAAGCCTGGTATCAATTCTTTCAGAATTTTCCTTTGGAAACTCAGGAGTTTCCATAATGGGGGGAGGGGAATCTGCAAAAGTCAAGATGGCAGCCAAGCCAGACAATGCATGTAAAAAAGGGATGGGGCTTTGAGTGCATGCTTTTTTAATCACCCCATGGAACCAGCAAACGCAGAAAGTCCTTCAGATCACCTATCTTAATAGCTCACAATGCTGTTGAAAGCTATATGGCTTCCGCCCTTTCCCCACAGCCTTCTCAATTAAATTAAGTTTTCAAACTAAATTTATCCATCCACGTTGACAAGAATCACAGACTGACCCATCAAATATCATCTGATGCCATCTAGGCTGAGACTGGTTTCTCTGTAAATAATCAAAAGTAGGTAACTTAAGAGAAATCTGCAGATCACCATCTCTAATTAGCACTGATCTAAGAAGATCTTTCAACATAACTACCAAGTACAAACCAGAATTGTCCAACACGCTATAAGAGCTTCCTGTGGAACCAGGCTATATGTTAGTAACTAGTTTGCATTATGGCCTTTGCACATTTGAGCTACCCATTAAAAAAAAAAATCAGCTGTAAATATTTGACTGGATCCTTGGATTCTACACAGAAGATTCCTTAGTGCTAATGTTTTGAAATATGCTTGATATTTGCTGGACAACATGGATCTACTCTGATGTTTCCTAGCCCCTCACCCATCACCATTTGTGATCCTCAAAGCTCTCCATGAACATAAGGTGGCATAAGGTGGCAAAATGGTCACATTTCTGTAGTACAATTTTCTGTCAAAATTGAAATGACTCCATACTATTGGGTTTGGGCCATTTCTAGGTAAAGTCAGTCTCAAATAGAGAAAATATTTATTAATTTAATTAATTAATATCATTCCTTTATTATTATTATTATTTTAAAAAACTCAAGGTAGTGAACATATCCAACACACCTTCCTTATCCTATTTTCCTACCAAGAATCCTGTGAGATGAGTTGGGCTGAGAGAGTGTGTAACTGGCCCAAAATCACCCAACCAGGATTCATGGCTAAGGTGGGACTTGACCTCATGATCTCCTGCTCTCTAGCCTGGTGCCTTAACCACTGGCTGAAATAATGAGATATTATAGTACTGAACAGAGTTCTTGGGGAATTTTGCTAGAGACAGTTTCTACATTCCTTTTTAGCCAGAAATGCACCGAATCGTGCCTATTTACTGTCAATATGTGCACAACATACATTTTGTTCTCCCTGGAAAGAAAGCAAACAAACCAATTTAATTTAGCCTTAGGTACCGAGATTTTTTTTTTAATAGTAGCAGGTGGTTATCAATAGAAGGCCCATATATTTTACCTTTCTACAACATCGTCTTGTCTTGAGGGAGAAGACAAGTCTTGGAGGACAGCCTGTTTTCCAGCTTATATAATTTGTTTTTTTCAAGTTACGGTGAATCATGTTTCATTCAAAGTACAACAGATTAACCAGATCCATGGTATTTTTACATGAATTGTGCGAAACGTTTGCAACTTGGTGGTATTGGAAACTGTGGACTACAACTTCCAGAATTCCTAGCTGGTATTTGAGAGCTATGGTTCCAAGAAATTTGAAGGACAATCAGGAAGGAGGTAGGGTGTGCCATATCCAAGCTTTCTCAGCCCTAATATGAAAAAGTTGCCCCAAACAAATATTTTCTTATAAAAATATAGACCTGTGGCCCTAAACTTCTTTAGCTTGCTATTAATATAGCTTTGCTATGAATACATTTGCCATCCATTTGACACCATATATGTCATACACATTTGCATAATGAAATTCCTCACTAAGATGCTTGAGTAGCATCTAAGAATGTCTGCAAAGATCAAACAGCCACTTTTTTTGGCAATACTGATACTGGGATCCCTGAAAATATGTCAGAATGAAAATGACATTTCAAATTGCTGACAAAAAATACTTCCAATCAACTTTTTATCAGGAAATCACCTTTATTAATTTCTGGGATTATAGGACTGCAGAATACAGGTAGTTCTCAATTTACAACAGTTCATTTAGTGACTTTTTGAAATTACAATGGCACAGAAAAGGTGACTTATGACCTTTTTTCACACTTATGACCGTCATGTTTGATGTTCAATTGTGGTCATAAGTTGAGAACTACCCGCATATTTCCATTTGTAAATTCTTTCTGTACTGCTTCCTGCATATATTTTTTTATCCAGAAAATCCACTGAACAAGAAAACAGGTTCAATTCCTAAAAAGTTGTCTTGTATGTATCCTAATTTACAGCCCACATGTTGGAGATGTGGTAATTTGGAAGCCACTTATTTTCATATATGGTAGAAATATAAAAGCTTTTTGGATTAAGATCTGGTGGAACATTCAACAAATTTTTAAGAGAAAGATAAAGTTTACCCCACAAATATTTTTATTGGGTGTTATTACAGATTGTGATGTTAAAGAAATTAATTTGATGTTGAATTTGATAATAGCTGCAAGGTTATTAGTAGGGCAATATTGGAAGAAGGATTGCTTGCCTACTATAGAAAAATGGACGATTAAAGTGTCAAATTTAGCAGAAATGGCTAAGATTTCTGCTTATTTGAAGGATCATTCACAAGAAAGATACATTTCGATCTGGAGAAGATAGATAAATTATATTCAGAATAAATATGGGACTAAAAAGTTTCATTTAGCTTACGAATGAATTTTAGAGTATTATTATGAATTTATTATTATTTTTAGTATTAGTATTGTTTAACTATTTAGGGATTGTATTGTTTAATAATTAGGATATTAATTTGTTTATGTTCTCATTATTATTATGTTCACTTTTAATTTGCTTATATTTATGTTAAAGGGGAGTTAAAGTGCATTATGGATTTGGTTATTTATATAGTTGGTAATGTTAGTTAGATTATGATTATCATATTTGTAACCCTGTATTCAGCTCTGGGAAGTGGGGGAGGGAGAGGGGGGGGTTGGGTGGGTTAATATTGTAATTTTTATAAAACTTTTTAATAATAATAAAAAAAGAAAACAGGATCAATGTCTTTTGAATGAATAGTTTTCAAAGCCACCTTCTGAAAAGTCATTTGTGGCCCTTGGATAGATAATGACTTTAAATTAATAATTCTTTCCTGTTTATAAAAACCAACTGAATAAACTTTTGAAAGTCTGCTCAAATGAGCATGACTATTTAGTCATACAACCACATTTATTGCATTGTCTATATTTCATTCTCCCATCTTTCTCTCTTCCTTTTATGTGACTTGACTGTGTAGACTTTTTCCTGTAAATTGAAATGATAAAAGCAACACATTCATTTTATCTGTCTGGAAAAGAAAAGGGCATTAACCTTCACGCCAATTGCATTGTTAATATAAGCTTTATACCTAATCAAATTGTCAAGAAGATACCCCAATACTACAGTGCTTCAATTTTAATAATAATTTATCCCTCTTTAATCTTCTTGAATATTTATATTAGATTTACAGATATAGTATTCTTAAAAGTTTTTGAATCATTCTGTTCTTCGTCTTTTCACTCCAAATTCCAATTCCTCATGCTTTTGACTAATAGTTACATCTGGAATTTTGAGAGTCTATATGTAAGATCAGAAGACATCACTAGAAGTACAGTTAGGCCTGTGGATAGATTTCTCACTCATTTCTGTAGTGGTTTCTCACTCATTTTTAGTTAAATGCTTCTTTAAAAAGAAAATAAAAATAGGATGATAAGGAAATTGAAGATAGTGTTTTAGAGCAGGGGTGTCAAACTGCTGGTCTGCAGGCCGGTTTCCTCATACCGAAGCCGCGCCCACCCCATTACCGGCAATGCAAAAAGAGTCGCGATACGTCGTGACACGTCACATGACGTGGCAAGTTTGACACCTGTGTTTTAGAGTATGTAGTTGGATTCCTGCAATTAGGTTGGGAAACTGGCAAATGTAGGATGGATTCATCACAAATCCAATATTAGAAATAGTGTAGCATGCCACAAGAAAAACAATGCAATTTTCCAGGAAACTCTGTTACTGAACTTAGACAAAGGAACAAAGGACATCAATGCCAGATTTCAATCTGAGCTGGTGGAAATGAAATTTTTATGAACTATATTCATCTTCAATAACTGCAAATACTGATGTTGTTGTTATTAACTCTGAGTTAGTCAGCTTACTAGTGCACACATGTCTACCTTGGCACCCATTAAGTGTTTTCTGAATGGCTATGACTCATAAGGCAAAGCTGATTATCCTTTCTGCATTTTATCCCCATTTGAGTTCAGTGTTTACAATGCACTCAACCATATAGGTCAGGAATTTAGTATTAGCTTTCATGCATCTGGAGAAATTAGTGTCATTCCATAGAATGCCATCATAAATGTATTAGTCTTATATTAATGCACTGCAATTACTGGGTTCTCTGGTCATTTGGAAGTCTCATTGCATTAAACCCAGTGAAAGGAGACATAACTTGATCATTTTTAAGTCAGATATTTCCCTTTGGTGTCAATTAACAAGATGAACGGTGCAAACATTGCGTTAATACAATTCTTGTTGTTTTAATAATTGACAATTTAGTATATATTTTTTCCAATATTCCTAAAAAATAATCATCATATTAA